TTAGGCCGCCAATAAATGCACTATTTTTCCCCCACTTTTTTTTTTTTTTATCGGAATCGAAAAATAACTCGATAAAGCTCCCCTTCTCACCGTGTTATACATTCAGTTTATGTATCGAGATTCTCTGTTCATATAATACGCGACCGATGTTTTATCGATACAGCCAACTGCTTGTAATATGTATACCGATCTCTCTTCCCTTTGACTCCTCTCTTTTGAAGCAAGTTACTAAACGAAACGATTTCTCATAGGCGGATGAATAACCAAGCCGTGGAACAGCATGTATATATAACTCATGTAGTCCGTGTACGCGACGTTGTCGAACTTTTCGATTAAAATTACCGGGGGAGCTTCGCGGAGTGAAGCTGATTTATATTTAACATAGACGAGGAAGTTTATCGTCGCGTGCGGGAAACGGAGGGCGATTTTTCCCCGTCGTCTCGTGAATCTGAAAAACAGAGCCCCCCCCCTATACCTTGTGATCCAGAACAGACCCCCCAAAGCTCCCCGCGCCCAACAAAAGATTCTTAATCTCGATTAAGCGCGCGCAGATAGGTATATATACGTATACGTACAGGTATCAGGACAAAGGGGCAGGGGGTGATTTATTTCGGCGGATCTTTCATGCCTCTCGAAAATTCATCACGGGACGCCCGATCCGTACATGTAACGAGGGGGAGCTCGATAATACACCTATTGCATATACATATACAGGTATAATCCGGCTCTGCTCTATCGCCCCCCCCCCCATGCCGGGGTCGTCCTCTTTTGTCGTAATTTAGCCAACTCCTGCGATTTATGCAAAGGCCGCAACCCTGCAAGGGTTGTTGTTGTGTATATATACCTTTAGCTTATATATGTATAGTTTAGCTGCACCGTGCATTACGTTATAATAATAGTGAGGATAAACCAGGGAGCGCGTGCGAGCGATCAATTTATTCATCGGGCTTGCTTTTAGCGAGATTCGCTAAACTTTCGCTGCGGAACACCTCACGGAGCATAATATGTATTTATGCGCGGTATATAACGCATATATATACATGTGTGTGCATGGGTTTGACCGGGGGCGCAAGATTTATAAATCCGATGGCTTTTACGTAGATTCGTTCTTTTTTTTTTTTTTTTTTTTTTTCTGCACCACCCCGTTTCGTTGATGGCTCTTTTATACCCCCGAAATTTCGGAAAAGCGCTTAAAGTCGAATTTCCCGAGTTTCATTTTATGTTTTAGCTTCGTGGCTGCCAACATTATATGCTCACATGGACGTATAGGTACGCCGTATTGGCGTACATGCTCGGGTATTATATATGTATAATATGAGAAATGAGACACTTGTGTATTAATATTGCACGAGAGAAATTAACGCACTGTAATATCAAACTCGCCCCCCACAACGGATGGAGTATATACATACATATAGCTACGTGTAATGTAATGGAGAAAGTTTACGCCCGGCAATCCAATTCGAAACGTTACAACGAGTCAATCTCACGTAAGCTCCGTACATTATAACTCTCGACTGCAAAACGCGTCTCGTGTGCGCCCCTATCGCTGATGGTACACACACACCCATACATGCAGTTGTGCGGGGGTGCACGGTACGAACGAACAAACTTTCCAAACATCGTTGCATGGAAATTTGAATTTCCAACGCGATCATTAAAATCGGATGAATCATCATAATCATCGTTTCACGCGATACGCGTTTTGAAGTTCTCGTTATAATAACGCGGCCCAACGGAACCCCCTGAGCCTACTTGAACCGATGAAGGCCGTATAAAGGGGTCAATGGTTGGAGAATATTTTTTAAATATTTGATATGGATGTAAAAAAAAGTAGAGACTCGGGCGTCACATATCCATTTCCACTCGTGAAACGACTCGCGTGCACGGAAGAAAAATCGTCCAATTTAAACGACATTATAATGGCCCTCCGCGTCGAAACGGTTGGAAGAAAAATGACGGAAAAATCCGGGAACGACAGAGGAGATAAAAAAAAAAGATTGCGAGGAGGAAAACCTTCTCGTGAACTTCCCATATACTTGCATAAGGAAGATGAGACAACTATAAATTTCGTTAGCTGCAGTAAAAATATTTATATCCCCGCCAAGTCCTTTCAATTTCCAGCGACGCGCGGGTTACGTCACTTTTTCCACCAAGAGGGCTGCGTAGGGTATCAAATTCCAAACCCTCGTAACCATCGTCATCGCCAACCTTTTGTCATCTAGTACGCGAGCAGAGTCAACTTGGACAACTTTTTTCTCTTTCCTCGAGTAAATGAAGAAAAGTAGGGACATATATATATATATTTATATATGTATGACCACAATGGGCATTTCTTCATCATCTTCTTCTTCTTTGAGCTCTGCTCATGCCGCAATCATTCTCGCATTCCTCGTCTTTTCTCAAACACATGCCTATACACATGTATATATTTATCTCATCGTGACTTTTGAAAAAAGCTCCAGCGCGCTGCGCTATGGTATATCGTAACCTCGTTTAAAAGCTCGGAAGGGGGGGGGGGAAGAAAGTTCCGGGTAATTATCCGCTGAAAATCTCTCCATGCACCAGCTGCATAGTTTTGCGAAATATTTCCAACTTCCTCCTGTTACAGGTACACTGCCAAATATACGAAGAAAATTGGAAATTTGAATTTCATAGGGAGCACCACCCCAAGCCCCGTCGCTCCCTCATCGGCCCTCCCTATTATTCAGGGCACGCTTCTTTCATTTGATATAGCATCGGTGTATAACGGAGCTTTCGTGTGATGTCGGATAAAAAAAAAAAAGGGGGTCTCTCTCGATATGATTCGTCGAGAATATTAATTTCGCCTTCGCCCACATCGTGCATTATTCCCTCTCTCGCGTGTACTCAATATTGATTGCTCCGATTACCGAGGAAACAAAGAGCTCTATTGTGTGTGTGTGTGTGCGTGTGTACCTTACGTACCTATATAAATGTATACTCTTGATAACTAAGTGTATTTATGTACAAATATGCGCACATACTATAGTTGGCTCTTGAAAAGTCAGGTTTGTGCACAAACATCGCGCGTCTTGCAAATTTCATCCGTATATGTAATTATATACAACCGAGTACGTAATTAATTATACAATATAGGATACTCTATAATAATAATAATAATATATATATACACATATCATGTACCTACAATATGTTCGATCAGGCGCTATTTGACGCAACAACTACTTTGGCGAAATTTCGACTGCACATACCGGGAAATTATATAGGTACCGTGTAGGGTTAAAAAAAATTATCGTAAAAGTTTGGAAGAATAAGAAGGTAAAAAATCACATCGGGAATCCGTATATATTATGTATACACTCGCAGTTTATTAAGGTTAAACAGTGTTTTGTATACATACTACGATATGCTGCAACGGCGTGCCGATGCTGCGTGCGTTAAATTCCAGGGGCGCGCGCGCTCGCGTATAAGCATAAGCATCGGCAACATCATTAGCTGGTAAATTTCATGGAGGATGAGAAAAAAAAAAAAAAGAGTACAAGATAAAAAATGTGCCGTGCTTGCCTCCGTTAATTAAAGTTCGCTGCTGGGGCGGACGGTGTACTTTGTTTTTTGTTCCCTCTGCGTATATAGTGTGCCAAGGTCCGGCCAATCAAATCATCCGAGCTGCTATTTTTTCCTCTCTCTAATCATTTTAATCAACATTTATGTCCCACAAAAAGATTAAGACGAGCTACTGTAAATTTATATATTAATCCTCAGTGTGTGCAGTGGTGAATGGAACATACACACATATAATATATATACGATTGAATTTGTTGTTGAAAGGGTATACGCGGTAAAGAGGGTTGAGCGAATTTGAAAAGTGCTCTGGTTGTATAATAATCCAAACCATAATCGAGGGAAGCAAATACTTTTAGGAGTTTGAAAAAACAAAAAAAATCTCAACCATATGCAAAATACATTGGTTTTAAGCCTAAATTGGCGCGGTACGTGTACAATAAGACACGCGAACGAGCCAAGAGCTTTTACGTTGATAAGAAGAGAAGTAGATATATGTATGTATGCTGTTGTTATTGTGCCGAGCGTCTGTTTTCCCTCTATACAACTTATACTTATTACGTATACTTGCGCGAGTTGAGGGAGATACGTATCTTTCTCCATATACTACATGTATACACACACGTATAGCTTTTCCTCTTCCGTTTCGGTCTTGGAAATTGTGTCTCGCGTCAAATAAACACTGCACCAGTGTGCCGAGATATGAAACTTTTGCCCGCAACTTTTTTTTTTTTCTCCCCAGCTATGAATGACGTTTCCCATCTGTGACTTGTTATTATTATTATTATTATTGTTATTATATTTGTCTCGCGCAACTCGGTCAGTTCGGTAATTCGATTAGGTGGCGAGTTGAGGGTCCAAATAACGAGCCCAATTATCGCTTTGAAGGACGATGCTAGAGAAGAAAAATACTTTAATCCTCCGTCCGAGGAATGAAGGGAGGAAAAAAGAAAAAAAAAAAAAAAAAAAAAAAATTATCCTCCAAATTTTGTGGTTTTTTTTTTCCTTCCCTTTTTTTTTTTTTCAACAACCCGCGGCTCTCCGTGTAAAAAACCGTCGCACAAAGGAGTACGTATACGACTCGTTTTCCTCGCTGCAGCTAATCTAATCTATATAGCTGTCCGAGCGAGAGAGCGAGCCACTTGTAACCCTTTGTACACATCATACGTATACACCCAAAGCGCGATATACGTATAACGCACAATGGCCCGCTCTGTACTTTTCATTTTCTATTTCTTTTCGATATAAATATAACCAGCAACAACAAGCTCCAACATAATGTCTCACTATGTGTACTGCATAATATATCGGTGTACCTATACTATGGTTTGCACAGCCAACATAAAAATATATAGCTCCATTAATCAATAGCTCGACGCGATGATGATAAGAAAAAAAGAAAGAAAAAAAAAAAAAAGGTACTTTCAACTGAAGAATCCCACCTTGTTTTGTTGCAGATAGTCCGAAGATGAAGCTGTGGTGGAGTTTGGCGATAATTGGCGTGGCCCTGCCGATGATGATCGGGGCGACGGGCCCGGCAGCGGAGTCCGAGCTCTGGGAGGAGGACGACAAGGAGGTGCTCGTGAGAACCGTACGCGGCATCAAAGAGCGCGGTGGTACGTATACGTTTTATGTAACTGTAACTCGGAAAATGCAGTGATTAACTTTTAACGCCACGACCCCCCTTTATCCCCCTTACTTTTGCCCATAAATGGCTCGACAAGCTCTCCTTGATTTTTTTTTTTTTTTTTTTTCACGCGAACCTTCCACACTTCCACGAGGTACCACGCAACAAATAATTGATATTCTGCGCAAATAATCTTGTAGTGCAGCTTATTTTTGTAGCCACACGATGACTCGTAACAACGAACTTGTGCACCCTGTAAGCTCATATTTCACTTTGGCAAAAAAAGAAACCATCCGAGTTAATTCCTTTGTCGCTTCGTTTACCCCACGCCTAAACCCTGTATCGATGAAAACTAAAATGGCACAAAAACGTCCACCACGTGGCACGTGATATCATTGACGTTTTGTTGTTTGTTTTTTACGCGCGTGATCGCGTCGGCACAGCATCCGGCAGCGGTAGCGGAGGCAGGGGCGGCTCTCCATCCTGCCGATACACCAAGGGTCAGTGGTCCGAGTGCGACCACAAGAACAACATGCGAACGCGCACTCTGTCCCTCAAAAAAGGCGATCCAAAGTCTTGCGAGCCCACCAAGGTCATCACCAAAAAGTGCAAGAAAGGTAAAGGTAAACGACATCGCCGTGTGCACTTGTGTTTCTTTTTCTCACATCGCCTCCTTTCTCGTATCATATGTGCGTGCGCTATTGTATTTTTGTACAAGTAATAATAAGTAACCGTCTCTCGACAGCCTGCCGATACGAGAAGGGCGCGTGGACCAGCTGCATCAACCAGAACATGACGCGGATCGACAACTTGAAGGCAAGTAGCGACCCGTCGTGCGAAAAAACGCACAAAATCACCAAGGAGTGCAAAGCCGATGCCAACTCCAAGAAAGCCACGAAAGGTACTTTGTATATATCTTTTCATTGAATCTCATCGACAAGGTATAAACTCATGTACCCATATTTCTTTCCAATTGGCAGATCGATCGAACAAGAAGGCTAGCAAGCAACAGTAAAGATCGAGTAGCTCTCGTCCATGGGCGCCCGGCGAAAATCAGAGGCGCCGACGTCGCACGAAGCTATACGCAAGCCGATGAGAGTTGAGGGATGTTATAAAAAAATAAGAGAGAGAGAGAGAGAGCCTCACCGCCTGGAGGGATGTTAATGATAATCATCTTCATCGTCATCATAATCATCATCGTGTAATGTCATGTGTGTACATCGAGACCAAAAGACGACGCAATGTTCAATCAAAATTGACCGATTACAATTAATATTTATCGTGAATCGAGTGCGAGTCACGGCCACCTGTGGACCGACCAGTCATTCACGAACAAAAATGTTAACGATACAACGTAGAGAGATTAAAGAAATCGGTTTCTCCCTCGTCTATGAATTTATCGAGAAGGATAATGTTGTCGTAAGTGTAATTTGTCGATGAAAATACAAGTTTCAGCGGAGAGTAAAACGTGCGCGTGTGATGTCAAAGGTGTAGGGGCAGACGCTGCTATTTTTTTTTTTTTTTTTTTTTTTTTTTTTTTTTTTTTTTTTTTTTTTTTTTTTTTTTTTTTTTTTTTTTTTTTTTTTTTTTTTTT